GTGTTTTACCATTTCCTCATGACAAATTAAATAAGTTTTTTTTATAAATAATACTGATTCTAATTCAAATAATTTTTACTCCTCCCAAAAGATCGGATTTTTTAAAAACAAAAATAGTTTTATTGTCTCTCTTTGCTTCCCAGAGTTAAAAACAACTTTCACCAATATGGTTTTCTTGCAAAAATATGATTCCTTGCAGTCAAACACATTCTCAGCTGGAAAAAAGGCCCTCAACAAAGCAGCCCTGCTCAATACTAATAATTCATGTGTCTAGAATAGCTTTTCAACAGGGCACCTTATAGTATTCTACAAATAACAGAATGAACTGCACTGAGGCAAAAGAATGACTTCTATTTTATAAGAGAGGAAGCACTAACAAATCAAGGACCCAATATAAGCAAATATAAACACTCCTACTGCAACCAGGACCAGGACCAGCCCAATGGTCTCCCAAGCCCAGGACCTTTTTTTTTCCTGGTAAGGGAGACACGATGGTAATGGAAGGTGGGTTTCCTAGGGTGAAGCCAATCCTTCATACTCCAGATACGCTGATCCCTGTAATTTCCCTGGATTGTCTGTGCCTTTCCCTGGATAGCAGGGTCTGCCAGGAGTAGATGCCAAGGGTACACGCCTAGAGAAAATCTGAGAGTAGGTCAGGCACATGCTATCCAAGGCACTCATATGGCCATAAACTAAAACACAAAAGTTCCACTCAACATGAGGAAAAACTCCTTTCTATTGAGCATAGCAGAGCACTGGAATAGCTGCCCAGGAAGGGTGTGGAGTCTCCCACTCTGGAGACATTCCAAACCCACCTGGACATGATTCTGTGTCACCTGCTCCAGGTGACGCTGCCTTGGCAGGGGGATTGGACCGGGTAATCTAAGAGGCCCCTTCCAACCCTAATAATTATACCATTCTGTAAATACTCTCTACCATCTGACAAACATCTATGACACCTGCCTGAGTCAAAACTGGTATCTAATTGCTTTCCATTTCTAGCACTTCTACCTGAGGCAATGAGTTCAACAGCTTAATTATACACTGTGCAACTTAAGTGGCTTTTTTTTTGTTTGTTTGCTCAGGGTTCATTACTTACCAGTTTCACTTGAAATTGCTGTATTATGAAAAAAATCATTCCACATGCATCAGGTTCTAGTTGATTGTGCAGACCCTTTGTGACAGGCAGTGTTCTCCTCTCTCTTCTGCTTGTCTTGAGCCAGCAGTCTTGATTTACAGAGTCAGTCATTCTCTGTGCCAAAGACAACCCATTACTTTTATTAGTTTTCTTGCTCTTTCCTTTCACAATAAAGAAGATTTGGTAGATGCACTGCTTTGACCGCCTGGATAAGCAGTTAGAAGCCCAGACTAGGGGTGGTTAAATTCCACGTTGCCTCATGTGAACACTGCATACCAAGATGCAAGGATGCATTTTACTAGGAGTATCACTTTCAACACCCTTTTATTTTTTTTGTGGCATTAATGAACTCACAATCCCACTCTTCTCCACATCATTTCAACCTAGGTAAAAGATATCAGAAGCACATCTCAATAACTTGAAATACCTGGTCACATTCTTGTAGCTCATGCTGCAAACATGAAAACATATCCCCAGGGGTCTTACTGAGCTTGACCTTCTTAATCACTGCTTTTCCTTACAGCATTGATGCTCTAATTTCATAGACATCCATATAGACCAGCTGCAGACCCAGAAATGCAGCATGTCACCTCTTAGAAACAATAGGTTTGTAGTAGTGTTAGAACCATATTCCTAGTTAATTTCTGACAGCAGTCTGGGTTCCCTCCTCTTCCTATAGAAATAGCACACTGTATAGCACTCCCAGGAGTTACTCCACTTTGTTCTGACTCCCTGTGTTATTGCTTCAACTTGGTCTGAAGTTTATTAACCTTGTGCTCCATTACATTTGCATTTGAGGACAAGAACACAAACATAGCAATGTACAGTTTAGGAACTTGATTCCTGTGTCTGTATACAGTGGGTACGCTCAATAGCAATGCTTGCGGTTGTTTTCTGGAAATTCACTGCTTTTCTCAAGTATTGACACTACATTTTTATTGGGTTTTGGTAAACTCTTTAGCATTTGGCATCTGTATCTTCTTACTTAATAGATACTAGCCTTGAAACTTGGGGTTTTAACAGTCTTTGTGTTTCAGCTTCTTCTAAACTCAATTATGATCCAGTTCCTGTCAACCTTACTCAAATAAAACTTCAGTCTGATATAAGCAAGAGGTTTGGGTAAAGATAAGGGAAGGAAAAAATCATCAACACATTTATTTCTAAGGAACTATTCTTTTGGCAAGATGGTTCTAAACCAAAGCCAGCATTCTGAACCAAATCCAGGACATCTGAATTACACTTTGGAGAGATGGATTCAGAAAAATACAGCCTGGTCCTGAACTTTTTAATTCATAACGTCCAGTAAAAATATAAAGCACATGTGTACTAGTTTCAGGAGGAGATACACAAAGTACTGGAACATAAGCACTTGATACTGTGCAACTGTTGCTTCCAAATTCAGACTGAAGTTTGGCCATAAGGTCACCAGCTCTCCTTTGCATATTATCAGTGTCTGAAGCATAAATTGATTTAAAAACTCTACAAACCCCTATGGAAGAGGCTGTTGTTGAAAGGGCAGTTCTCTGCTGATCCTTTTTCCTGGCATGGTGGTTCTCAGAGAGGGTCTGCTATGAGCTCAATGTATCACATGAGCCACCCACTGTGAAGGGGCTTCAGTCCCAGCAGTTGAAAGTCTCGGGTGGTGGGAGTGTGATTGCCAAGAGTAGCTCAGAATGCTCAGACAGGAAAGTTTCCTTAACATTCACCTGCTATATTGAATTAAAGGAGACTAAAAATATACTGGATGACTGGATTGAAGCCAAAGAATATGCCCCAGCTCATACAAAGGCAGCTGCTCAGGGAGATGAGTCTCGCTCCCCTGCTCTGCTCTTCCCCTTCATTCAACTTGGAAATTTCAAGTCAAGCACTCAGCCTCTCTCCTGCTGTTTTACACTTTCATGAGTTAGAAATCAAACATCAGTCACCACCTTCACAGGACAACAGCTCATTTTGGGAGAGTCAGGACCAGGCCTTTGTGCATGATGGGTGACAGGTAAGTAAAGACAGCCAAGTTTTCATACAGACAACATCTGAACTGAAGAAGTCACTCCTGTGACAAAGCAGTTCCCATGAAACTGTACTCTGCAATATAAAACTCATTTCTTTATCTTGGATATTTCTGACATTCTGCTATGACCATAGCACCATATAAATTCATATCTTCATCTTGCTCAGCAAGATGAATAATCTTGTTAAGTATCTTAACGGTATACTCCAATTTCACTGAAAGACACTCAAAAATACTTCCCTGTAATTCCTAAACATCTTAGGACCATAAATGGATGTTATTTTCAGAAAACAGAACATGTGCCAAAAAGCTCTGGATAAAAAGTATCTTTCAGTTTTCTTTTTTCAAATTGGACCCAAAAAAAAGCTAAAAAAAAAAAAAATTCCACAAGACTAGCCTTGATGTTCAACTGTCTGATAATGGTCGTCTTTTAAAGGAAGGAGAAAATGTGACCAAACCAAAGGTAATTCTGATTGAAATGACTACCACTAGAACAGCTTGTACTTATTTTATCATAGAAAAATGTGCCAGAGGGCTTGATAAAATTTCAGCCAAAAACAACAAAGTTTCTTGGTTTCAGGGTCCTTTCATAAGAATTATATGGCACTGGCCCTATCAGCTCCCAAGGTCAATAAGGCTGTCTCAACCACCTTGACAGAAGGCTTCATCAACAACTTTGAATAACCTTTTTTTTCCACAGAACCAAAGAATCATAGAATAGTTGGGGTGGGAAGGGACCTTTGAAGGTCATCTAGTCCAACTCCTCCCAAGAAGCAGGAATATCTTCAACTAGGTGAGGTTGTTCAGCACCCCATCCAACCTGACCTTGAATGTTTCCAGAGATGGGGTATCCACCATCTCTCTGGGAACCTGTTTCAGTGTTTCACCACCCTCATCATAAAGAATATCTTCCTTATATATATATATATATATATATATTCCTTATATTTTCATCATCATATTCTGCTTCTGGATAAAACCCACTTGCAGATCAGTGTGTGCAATAATAGGCTGTTCTTGCCTGGGAATATTAATGTATTTCTCTGTCAGTGTTCATGTTGCTATCTGTTCCTTGCTGAACAATTTCACACATTTCACAAAAGGCATCTGATTGCTTAATGGAGCAGTTTTATCAGAACAAATGCAAATTACTATTTACAACACATTTTTGATTCTCATCTAAGTGTCAAATGCTGTTTCTCTGCTGCTACTTATTGTAAGACTTCTCTTAGACGTTAGAAATGAGGATTCACCTTATAAATTAAGAGTATTTTTTCTGAGTAAAGATTGCATTCACTGTCTAGATTATTGGAAGATTTTAGATTTCAGCACTGCCCTTATGCTGAGCAGATTCAGATTCCTACAGAAGACAGATGTTTGGAATTCTTGAACAACTGTGTCTTGCCTAATAATACACTGAAGAATCAAGTTGCACTGTCTCCATTATATCCTCCTATCTCCACTTTTTTTCTAATAAAATGGAGAAAAAACATAAGAGGAAAACAAATAGCATTTGTCATCTCAAGAAATTTTGGTTGGGTTCCTGAAGCACATCTTAAGTTATTTCTTTTTACAGAGAAGTGTATTCAAATTCCTCAGAACAACAATTGGATTAATGAGGAATAGGCCCTTCCAGCCCAAGAACTAAGCTGATAAAGCAGCTTCTGAAGGGCACAAGGCAGGTACTTCTAATTTTACCAGGCTAATGAATTATTTCATTAGATACAACCAACTAGTTCATGTGTACAGTTGTGAGGCATCTGACACAGTTTACCAGAAGAGTTATAAGAAATTCTTACTAGAATTCTCATGCAGAGAAGTTTACCAGAGACAGAAAACCATCAGCACAAGAGCTAAGAAGGTATTGTTTATTTAAGACATTCTGGACAGAGTGTATTAACTCTTCTACAAAATTCAGGTTAAATCCTGAGCAACTGCTTTATTTTTTTTTTTCCATTATAAAATGTAATTCTCAGAACATTTGCATGTAAATATTCGATATGGAGTTCTTTTGAGCACCCCTCCTTCAGAAGCCTGTGAGATCTTTAAAATACAAAAGGTTTGTTTTCATGGTGCTTATAACAGGATTTATTTCAGTGTAACTTGTATTCTGTCTCACAACAGAATACATTTTTAGTGTGGTGTGTATTACTTTTAAGGTGTTCAGTCAAGGAAAACATTTTTATTTTTAATATTGTTGTCTTCAAGTCCAAAAACGAATACAAAACCATGTATTTTCCTTCAAATTGTAAACTTGATAAAGAATTAGTCTAAGCACATTTTCACATTTATTTGGGCTAAGAGCAGCCAGTTATCAGACAGAATTTCACATCTGTTCCGTACCACAATCCAATTCTGTATGGTTTGTGTGATCCAGTATACACAATTATAACTCTTCAAAAACACATCCACCAGTTTTAAAAACCATAGACAGGCATCATTTGCTGGCGTTTCTTAACAACTAGTTAGTTGACAGCACCAAGTTAGTCCATACATCCAGGATATCAAGCTACAAAAAATGAAACACCATATGAATGCTCCAAGCATTTATAACTGTGCAATGAGTTTCCTTGTAAAATGTAAGGAATATGACTGCTACTTTGACCAAAGAGTTTGTGGGTCTTTTAATTTTAAAGAAAATAGTAATTTGCTATAAAGTTCAATTTCAAACTGAGTTCAATGATTTTGGTCACTACCATGGAAATGTGACTAGACAGGCACAAGAAATTTCTTTGGTGCTTTTTTCTTTTTCTCTTCTCTAAGAACAGCACTGGTGACAGCTTTTCTAAATTTAGATATGTACCTGGAACTAGAACTTTGTCTTTTCAAATCAGATCTCTCTCCACATTGTTCTTGGCATCCCTGCATGAAGATTAACCTACACCCTCTTGCTGAAGAATACTCTTCAAAGCAGTACTCTCTGAAGACAAATAATCTAATTTTGTAAAAATAATTTATTCTAAAAATTGGCACATCAGTGAAAGATTCCTCTGAAAAGATTATATTCCTATGCAATGTAACATCTCTAAAATGTCAGAGTTCTCAGTTATGAAGTGTATCCCCTTTAGAACTGCTTTATATCATAAGCAAAAAAGTATGCAACCAGTAGAAAGCAAGATTTTAGCAAACACTAGTAAATAGTTCCATGCTTCTGACATTATAGAATGGTTTAGGTTGGAAAGGACCTTAAAGATCATCAACTCAGCACTGCCAGGCCCAACACTAAACCATGTCCTCAAGTGCCACATCTACACAGTTTTTAAATACCTCCAGGGATGGTGACTCCACTGCTTCTCTGGGCAACCTGTTTCTGTGTTTGACAACACTTTCAGTGAATATATTTTTCCTAATATCCAGCCTAAACCTCCCCTGGTACAACTTGCAGCTGTTTCCTCTTGTTCTGTCCCTTGTTCCCTGGAAGCAGAGCCTGACCCCCATGTGGCTCCACCCTCTTGTCACGGAGTTGTAGAGAGGAAGAAGGTCCCCTCTGAGCTTCCAGGCTGAGCCCCCCCAGCTCCCTCAGCCGCTCCTGGTGCTCCAGCCCCTTCCCCAGCTCCAATCCCTTCTCTGGACATGCTCCAGCCCCTCAACGTCTCTCCTGTCTGAGGGGCCCAGAAGTGCCCCCAGCACTTGACGTGTGCTAGCACAGGGCGACAGTCACTGCCCTGGTCCTGCTGGTCACACCATGGCTGGTACTGCCCAGATGCCTTTGGTCTTCTTGCCTACCTGGGCACACCTGGGCTGATGTTCTGCTGCTATCAATCAGCATCTCCAGGTCCTTTTCCAACAGGCAACTTTCCAGACACTTTTCCCCCAGCCTGGAGCACTGCTGTGGGTTTTTGTGACTGAAGTGCAAATCTTGGCACTTCCTCTTGTTGTATCTCACACAACTGGCTTCATCCCATCAATCCAGCCTGTCCAGATCCCTCTGCAGAGCCTTTCTGCCCTCCAGCAGATCAACATTCCTGCCTGGCTTGGTGTTGTCAGTAAACTGACTGAGGGTGCCCTTGATCTCATCCCAACTGTTCATACAGGTATTAAACAGGACTGGCCCCAACACTGAGTCTTGGTGCACACCCCTGGTGAGGGAACCCAGCTAGATGTCACTCCACTGCCCAGCACTCTCTGGGCCATCCACACAGTTTTTTATCCAGTGAACAGGGCACTCATCCATGCCATAAGCATCCAATTTCTCCAGGAGAATGATGGGAAAATATGTCAAAGGCTTTAGTAAAGCCCAGGTAGACACATCCACAGCCTTTCCCTAATCCATGAGGTGGGTCACCTCGTCACAGAAGATCAGGGTGGTCCTGCCTGACCACCCTGCCTATCCTAAACCCAGGCTGGCTGGGCCTGATCCCCTCACTGTCCTGTACATGTTGCATGATGGCCCTCAGGATGATCTGCCCCATGACATTCCCCAGCACTGAGGTCAGGCTTGTAGTTCCCCAGATCCTCTTTCCAACCCTTCCTGTAGATGTGTGTCATATTTGCCAACTTCCAGTTAACTGGGACCTCCCTGGTTTGCCAGGACTGCTGGTCAGTGACAGAAAGTGGCTCAGGAACCTCTTCTACCAGCTCCCTCAGTGCCCTTGGATGTCTCCCATCTGGCCCCATGGACTTGTTAGTGTCTTAAGTGGTGTAGCAGGTCACTGACCATGGATTACAGGGGCTTCCTTCCACCCCCCATTCCTGTCTTCCAGCCCAGGGTGCTGAGTAAACAATGCAAATGTACAGTCCAATCTTCTTTTTTATAAGAAAGTTTGTCTTTGAAAAGAAAGAAGTGCATATGCTTGGACAAAAATGCAGGCAGAGATGTCTAGTCTCAGGTGAACTGAAAGATAACTACAAATCACATGCAAATCCCCAATGTAATATGAAAAACATCTACATATCAAATGCTTGCAAAGTAAGAGTCAAAGCCAACAACAAAAATATCGAAATATTTCTATTTGCTACATATAAAGATTTTTTAAAGTGCAAGTAATTTACTCTCATTTTAAAAAATAGAAAAATATCGAAAAATACTTAAGCAAATGCAGAAAATCTAGACCAGTGCAATGTGAATTACAACAATAATTCAGTTATTTTTCTAGTTAAAGGCATTAGTGTGGTACATTTTTATGGTTTTACACAGTGCGATGTGATTATGCCTTATTAAGATGATAACTTTCTTATTTAGGATGTACTACAGTGAAAACTTGACAGTGCAAATCAATGTTATCCAAATGAAATGTAAGAAGAGGTGAAACAAGTGATATATCAGAAAAAAGAACAAATACAAACGTCACATTTCAAAACTACCCTTTGAGCATGTGAGCACCTAAAGTTATCATAAATACAAAAATTAGTAAACTTATAAGTACTATAAAAAACTGTAGTTTGAACTTACAAATCCAGTCTGGGCATTCAGACACAGGAACAGTACTTTACATAACATACTCCAAAGGCAAACCACAACACAGTCCTGTTCTCTCCACAAATGCATTTCCCTAAAGAAACACCTCAGCCAGCCTAATTTGGCAAAAAAACATCTTCAGTGGTCAAGACCATTAAGGATTTCAAGTCACTTATTCTGTTTTCTTTGCTTGTCTTTTCTTAACACCATCATGGTGCTGCTCAGAGGGCCGGTCACAGACTGAGGAGCCGTTGGAAGATGTGGCACCTTCACTCTTCACTTTGGAAGGTGCCTTTCGCAAGCCAAAAAGCACATGGCCTAATGCAGCCTCAAGGGAAGCAAGTGGAGAAGTTGCACATCTTGTCAACATCATTCTTACCTAGGAAGAACAAGGATCAAGTTACAATAAATGTGTAAAGCACTTAAACACATATGCACAACCAGACTTTAATCAGAATTCCAGACAGCCATACCCATTCCATAAAGTTTAGAGGTTTAGGTAGACATTCCTTAAGACACATAACTTGGAATCAGGGCAGAAAAAAGTGTTTTATAGATCCAGGTACTGGACAAGTTTATATTGCAACAGTTTCTACAGTTTTCAGAGACATGACAAGTTTCTAAAAGATGTTATTACGGACTATGCCAGATCCACAACTGTTGCTTTATTAGTTAAGTGGGTGTTCAAGTTCATGATTGTCAGTATGACCATCAGTGTCACTTCAGTGTACTCTGACAGCCAGCTCCTGAAGACAGCTGTAATCTCTCAGTTCCAGAATAACATTCCTTTCCTTCTCCATTCCCAGCATCCCCACTTCAACAACGCCTTTATTGGTTTAGGTGAACATTAGCTCAAAATCTCGGCTCCCTAAAGCAATGTCTGTAGAACTAAAGTTGTCAGCTACTTCACAGAAAGGACTGGCAACCACCACTTTCAGTCAGTCTCTGGTCTGTCCAACAGCAGCTCTGAAGGTCTTAAAATTGCCAGATTTCTGCTAACAGATACTATGCTTCCTTATTAGCTCATAATCCTGAAGACAGGCATCATCCTGGAAATTAACAAGACTGGAGGGACTGAAGAATTCAACAATGCCTATTTTATTATAAAAGCAGATACAATTACCTCAGAGTGGTTTTGATATACTTTCTCTTCTCACCTAAATATTTGTTTTGCAAATACTTTAAGCTACATGAGAGTCTGTTTGGCTTATACTGCAAACATACAAAAGACAAAACTTTGTCTTTATTTCTTTCTACAAGCATAAGCTTTGTTTGAGGTTCAAGACATATAAGCCTGGAATGTCAAATGTTGGGTGCCTAAGTTCCTGACTTTTTTCTCTGTTTTTAGTCCCCATACATTGTATACTATCAGTAATAGAACTTCTGTTCTGCTTGTGTAGAGAAGACTAAACACAGTTTTCTGACTTTACTAAGAGCTGACTCTGCCACCCAGAAGCACGCATTCTAATAACTAAATAAAATATTTCCTGTTATTCAGTTACTTGCAACACTTCCAAATTCTTACCTTGAAGACAACAAGAAAGACGGTGTATAAAAACACAAGGTTGTGTCTTGCAATTGGCAAGTACTGGCTGTGTTGCAGGGTGAAAAGAACTGCTCCTATCAAAGTTATCTTCACAGGGCTGGAAATCAAACAAATAATGTTAACTTCTCTTTTTACAGCAAAAGCTGCCATGGCCTAGAAAGTAGTAAATAGTCTTAGTTGTGCAAAAGATTTTTTTCTGAATAGAACTAATGAAAATTTGTGGTAAGAGTGGTAAGGTCTAAAAACTAGATATAATTACATTAGGACGTTCACTTTATATATTATTACTACACTTTCTCTCTGTAACATCGACAAGCATCGAGTTCAGCACTACTTTACACACCCAGCAAATTATTATTTGACAAATCCTTTTCAAATCAATGCTTCTATTCAAACTCTATACATCAGCTTCCTTCTCTTCTTCCTTTCCCAGTACGTCTTACTGAAGAGTTAAATCACAAAGCTTGCACTACTCAGACTAGACTTAAAAACGCGTTCCTCTACTACACTCCAGAAGTTAGTTACTCCAAGGTTGCTTAAGGTGTTGAAGTGCAACATAGTCAAGGTCTTGGTCCACTGTAACACTCCAGCAGCTCTATGGTTGTAGTCAGCTTAGACCCAGTTTGAGCCAGGCCTATGCTATCAGGTTTTGCCAACAAAGCTGTGCTGGCTTAAGACATGCAAAGATTCCCATCTAGTACAGATCTTGGTTGTGATGGTAAACCCCTTGCTGGGCATGCAGCCAGAAAACAAGAGAGCTTTGGTCAGTTCCAGTCTTCTGAAGAGAGAGCTCCAGTACACTGGTAGAAGAATTATGAGCATTTCTTAATCTGCACCTACATGTGACATGTGCAGGTGACATTCCCATTATTACAGAGCATCCAGTGTAGACAAATCCTTCACTGTCTTTTCAGTAACTCAGAGATTTGCTGCACCAACTTCCTGCTGAGGAATTCCACAAACCAACTTTGTGTGTACACGCAACTCTTTGTATACATGCAACTCATCCAGTCGCAGGATGTTTGATCCATTTAACTTTGTAACTTAGTTCAATTTAATGTTCTTATGATTTATATATAAACAAAGTTTAAAAAATCTTTTTTGTGTTACTTTGAGCCATATCCACCATGGAAAAAGAGGATATATGCAAGTGGTGACAGTCAGTAATCATTGCTCTGGTGTTGCACCTGTAAGGACAAGTGTTATTTGTGTTTACAGTGCTTTTTTGACACTGACCTCTTCTTTCCGGAAGTTTGCTTTCAAGACTGCCACTTAGGCACTGACAGAGGGAGATAAATTCTAAATACTTGGAATTTCAGAAAAAGCCAACAACGCACACAATCCACAAAAAGTTGAAATATTGCCAAAGAGAAGGCTACAAGTGCCACTTCTGTTATTCTGCGTCTCAGAGTGGCTGCAGAAAAGCAAGATAACTTTAAAAAAAGTACTGTTTTTAAAGACCTGAGAGTAAAATGGGAAAGATCAGAAGAATTTTAGGAAATTATTGCAGTGACCTTGACTTACAATAATAGCTTGTGTCTTTCTAGCCTGTTTCAATTCTCATTTTATGAGAGCCATGTAATATTCCCATTCTTTCCTTCTGCAAGAGAAGTAACATTTCCTATCCTGCAGGACAGGTTTCCTATACTGAATAACCAATTTGCATCTCCTCAAATAATTGATATTTATGGTGGAAAGTAACACTGGAAGAGAAAGTAAGAGGGACAGTGTTGAAAGGAAGCCACTTTAGTGATGCTCAGAACATACACCAGAAGTGCAGACTTCAGTTATACACTTCCGGTACCACTGTCCTTTCATTTTGGATAGAGGACCACATCCATGTAAGCCAAATTGAGTAAATACTACTTTCTAGCAACTCCACACTGGCTCAATACTTGCTTTCTGACACATAATTTTTGTTGACTTGTCTCTCCCATTTACTGTTCTCCTGATGTGAACATAAAATGATTAAAACATCTGCGAAAAGTACCAAACATCATCAACCCCTCTTTCACAGGATACACACCAAAATACTGAGTACAAGCAGGTTCTACTGCTGTTTTTTAGACCTCAAACACTAAAAGTGTGTGCCAGCTGAAGATAGGACCAAAACAACAATTAACATGTTAAAAGAAAACCTTACTAGGACATCTTCAGTAGTTCATTGGTTTCAGGTTTCCACACTCCTCTCACCAGCTGCTCAAAGTTGGAAATTAGGCCACCACCAGCTCCTGAAATGGCAGAGATTTACGATAAACCTCCACTGACTTCTACCACTACTGTGCAATCTGTTACTGCTCACAACAGAAGTCATGACACCAGGTGCTAAATGTGGCACCCAAAGCCCAGACTTAAAAAGACTAATCCAGTCTTTTATATGAGCATGACTTGAACAGCCCACATGAAACTCCAGAGGTTTACCTACTTAGCAAGAACCTCAGGTTTAGCTTTAAGTGATAACACCTGAACTCATCACCACAAACGCTTGGACTGCCAAGGTAAATCTCTAGAGGTTTATATGCATTGCATTCATTGTGTCATCATAAGTACAGAGAATGTCTCTATAAACTATGAGGATCCTCTGTGAGAAAAGGGGGTATGTATTTTTACATTAAAAGAATACAAGATATAAGGAGGTGTTAGACAATGTGGCCAACGAGACTGATCTGTGTTGTAACTTGGGAACAGAACACGTTGGATCACCATATTGTTGCTTCCCACAGCAGAACAGAATCCATCAGAAACAAGAGCTGCACAATCACCTCCAGGAAGGATTCTTCTAAGGGTGTGACTACAAATAGAGCTGCTAGGAAGCTGTCTGCCAGAGTTCTGCTCCAAACAGCATACAGGCAAGAAGGATCATTCCTGTGTTTAAAACTGGGTAATAGTTACAACCCAAAAACCTAAGATAACCAGTTCTCCACCCACATGTAAAGACACAGCTCTGAGGAAATAATGCTGTTGGAAAGTTTAGCAACAGCTACACATAAGATCTTCTTCTTTATTGTCATCAATTGCCCATCCCACAAGTCCTCATAAAACCTGAAGGGATAAGACAAAGTTCCCTTGAAGTCACTCAATGTCACCCTTAATCCAGACAGAAAAACTGCTGCACAGGCTTTTTCCTTGAGGGAATAACAGACTGCATCAGGACTATAACATCCAGCACAGCAAGGATAGTGCTACAGTTAATGCTGGCAGGCCAGACATTTAAACACAACTCTAAAAAAATCACAACCCATCAGAACAAGACGTGGTGCTTGTTACCTCTGGCCCAGCCCACAGCCACCATGACAAGCCAGGCATCTTTGAAGTGACTGTCTGCATGTGCAACTCCAGCTGTTATCTTCCAAGTCCTAGTCACTTCTTTCATTCCTGCAACCAGGAGACGAAGAGGCAGAAAGGAAAAGCACCGGCAGAAAATGTCTTGTGGGCAGTAAAACACCAGATACCTGGAAATCACGAGAAAACCCATTAGCAATTTTACTAATCTTTAAAGCTATTTTTTGGAATATGATTAGTAATGTATAACTCACTGTCTTGTGATACACACGTTGGGACAAATTTGAAAAGTTTCTGAGCACGCTTGAGCTCTTGCACCAAAAATCAAACATTATCTTCCTGCCTCTTTGTCCCAGAGAAGAATCTACTAAAGAACATGAGAAACAGCTTTAAATTTTACCAGCTGTTCTATAGCTTGCATATCATGTTTTTATGATTCAAATTATTAATTTTGTGTCTGACTAACTGTCTGTGGTTTATTTTGTGAGTTATTTTTTGTTTGGTTGGGAGTTTGGTTTTGTTTGGTTTTGTTTTGTTTGTTGGGGTTTTTTTAATAGGATTACAAAAGGGTGCTAAATTAAGTGTTGACCCTCTGCTTTCATACTGCAGGTACATGGAATTATGTAACTTCAGCAAGAATGCCTCTACTATTTAGTGTCATGCCCAGTGAAATGCACAGCTCTTTTCAAATACATTTAACATCTTAGTACTCACCAATTCTAGCTTTTCCAGCTTGCCAGTTACAAGCACATTTCTTTATTCAAAGCATTGAAAGCACAATACTCAAAATTTAACAACATCTTTGATCAACCCAAAACTTAACTATCATCTTTGCTTTTAGAACAAAGTAAAGATGGCTAACAATGAAATCCTAGTATGACAGTATATTTTAAAAGATTAGATTATGTGTTGTTTTATTATATCTCTTAAATAATAAAATTTAGTTCTTACAGAGAACTGAATTAAATAAAAAACAAACAATCAAGACTAAGTAACTTCATTCAGTTATCTTAAGTAGATTATTTCAGCACAGGAATAAGAGAGTAATAATTAAGTAAAAGTAGAGAAAGTATTTAAAAATGGGAAGGATACCTTTTCATTTTCTAAAAAAAAAAAAAAAAAAAAAGAGATACAGGCCCTTTCTTTGAGGCTTTTGAGCTCAATCCTCTCTACGAAGACTTCCTAAGGCCTTTCCTTTCCCTTTTTCTCCCAGGGAGAAGTAAAGTCAGATGCCTTTGTATGCAACCAAGCTTCAGCTGATAGGAAGCCAAAGACATATACAAAGCATGTATTTTAGAGACTACTGCAAACAACCATTTAAGCCACCCACTCAACAGACAACCCTCACTAGAATTAATTTACAGCTGCAGGAGGTGGGTTTAGGACCCTGAAGCTACTGATAACAGGACGGAACTTGGTCCTGCAGGCCCACCACAGCACTTCTGCCTGTAACCTCTGCCAACAGCAGATGCCGCTGTCCTACAGACTATTCAAGAGCACTTCTCAAGAGTAGCACAACCCCCCTTATTTTCCAGTTTTATGTCTGACTTTGGGAATTTAATTTCACATGATCCAGGACCAAGAATTAAGGTCACTGTACTCAGGAAGAGAGAACTTTGTAAAAGTAGAAGCTTAGAAGGTTTCATAATGTTCACAGCTCCTCGTTAAAACCCTGTTTTGTTTGTGCACAGCAAATCACATTTGACCATGTAAAGTTCAACAGAAATCATGTTCTCTTCAAGTGTACTTGTAAGTCACATCACTTGTTAAGCAACCATAGGGAGTTTCTACAAGCTTTGTTAATAATGCACTAATTATTGCACATTTTTCATTTCGCTCCTCTGCCTAAATAAAATCTGTCATCTTCCACTGAAGGCCAGAAGACTAATATAACATATAGAGACAGACAGAAACACTTTCATTTTAAGTCATTTGCAATTATAAAACCTAAGGGGCTACTAGGAACTAAAGGATTTGAAGCAGGTCAGACTCTTTCTAAGGTAGGAACAGAGCTTTTTAAATTCAAAACTCCAGTGCTGATCATAATTTTTGTTAAGTTTGAGGTTTTCTTCAAAGCTCACTTTCTGGAATAAATTACCTTCACTGGAAGGCCATATCTGTATGAAAATAACTCCAGCACTTTTTTGAATTTCGACACAGGCCAAATTGCCACATACCTGACTTCCCATTCAGCTCACTATTGTCTTCCACTAGAACACCCATCCATTTGGGAAGGGACGAAATATAGAAAAAAAAAGTCACATCTGGTGGCAGAAACTGGAGGAGAGGAAAGACCTGTCTTCAATCCACAGTTACAGGAAAGTCCAGAATTTTTGCACACGGCCTTCAAGTGGTACTTTTATAAAACTAGATTGCGTCTATGATTTACCTGTGTCCAGAAAACCAGCAAATGAAGATCACTTTATTACAAAATAATTTTTTCAGCTGTTTGACCAGGAAAACTATAAAAATCTAAGGCAAGTCTAGTCTAGCAACAGAGCACTTTGTTATACAACAGCCCATGTGAGTTGCTCCCTTACAAGCGTTATGTTTCCACAGAAGAAGGATCCTAATAGCTATTTTGCTGCAGTCACTCTGGATGAAGAGACAGGATCCAAATCTGTAACACTTGTAAGTCAAGGCACTGATTTTCATGGAACCTCGGTGGTGTAGTATCAGCTTACAGTATGTGTCTTCCTCAGAGCCAATGTTACTCATCCAACTCAACTGTCGCTGCTTACCAGACTGAAGATGCCAGTAGAATATTTGTGCCCTTGGCCAGAAATGCTACTGGAGGTTCTGCAAGCATCAACGAGGACAAAACCGAACCACCAAAGCAATAAAGCATAGCACTAAACCAGCAGGCAAATGGACTCCGGACTGACACCTCCACAGCTCCTGTGAAAAGATGCATAAACAGAAATGAACATTTGAGACTCACATCACGTTTTAATAGCCGGTATTTTTCAAACCCTTCAGTCCAACATTGCTCCTTTAGGTAATGAAAAAATCCCCCAGCAATTTGTAGGATTTCACAGGAAAACTCTTCAGAAATACATAGTTCAGAGCACGCTGGCTTTAACACTCGCTATCTAAACAGAATGTGCTCTCTGAACATCTTTTGTGCGTTGGTTTGTTATAACTGTTCGGCTACCAAGAAGAAAAAGCTTTCAGAGCATGGTTGAGAGGTCTCACTGTTAATAGCCTGACATAGATATATACTTGCTTTCAAATTTGTATTAAAAACACAGAATTCGCTTTGCTGAACTGCACAGGCTAGGTAACATTTTGAGGGTTATTCTGCAAATTACATTTCTGCTTTTGAGTGTTCCAAGAATTCAGGGTCACTGTTTTCCTTTTTTCCTCATAATGTCTTTCTGTGTTTGCTGATGAAAATGAAAACAGTATCCAAAGCAATTATTAAATAGTTTCACCTGCACTCCTGAAGGGTTGAAAACAGGTTACCCGGAGCCATAATAATAAATGTAAGTTTCCCTTGTTATTAAAAGGTTGACAGTTTTATTCTGTTATTTTGAAATAAATTATCACTTTTAAATTGCAACAGAAATATGCCAAAACAGTATTCAATATTAAGGGGTTATGCCGGAGATAATGGTAATCATTAAGCAGCTTCAGGGGGAAACAGCAGTTTATCAAAGATAAAAATATCCTCAAGTAGTTGGGTTTTTTTTCCACTTCAAAAGTCCAGTGTTAAACCCTTTACGCTAGTGCTGAGCTCTGTTTGCCTGAACAAGTTTAACTTTCCATAGTCCAAAGGCTGAAGTTCACAAAAGCACCAGTGTCTGCCCAAAAATGAAATCTGACATCTGTTCCCAGTTCAGAGGGGAAGTCCTGGGTTTTTCAGGCATTTCTGTGGGAAAAGAAGCTTCTTGCCCAAAAGGAGAAGCTCAAACATATAAAAGAGCATATCGCACTCTCAATACAGTTCACTTAACGTATTAATAAGATTTTTAAAATTTTAGTGCTGGCACAGATATCACGTATTGTGGCACTATCTAAATTCCTATGTAACAGCCAAATTATAAAAATTAGCACTCCTACGTATTTCAAAATATCTGAATATAAAATAACATCGTTTATATGTTTCACTATTTTGTATGTTATTTTTCATACTGCACTACCTGGTGCTCCAAATCAGTTGTGCTCAGGTTTGTTATTTCATATGACCATTTCTCCAAAGTAGCTATCAATCATGTTCATGTGCCAAAAAATTAACACAGTAGAAAATTCCAAAGTCTGATAATGTTACTTAGGAGCAAAAGTGAAAATATAAAGTGGGCCATTACACCCAGATCCCATGTAACTGAATGTAGATCTGTTTTCACCAACATATTTGAAAAGGGTAAGACACTTGCAAAATATTTATGGGTTGTCCTTACTACATTGAGATTTCCTCAATTAAAACAAAACAAAAACAAAACAAAACAAACAAAAACACACCAACCTACCAAACAAACAAACAAAACCAACCTAAAAATTTGGACAACTAGTGCATTCAGAAAAACAGCAAACAGACACAACATTATGTTAAGTGGACATACATGGGTCTAAAACAACTACAGTAGCTTCACATGTAACTGCTCTTGTCTGATGACACAGCCAAGTTTATCTAGCGTGAAAAAACCAAATTCCTTTTCTTGTGAAAAGAAAATACAAAAAAAAAAAAAAAAGTAGAGTTGTTTTAAAATTAATTAGGTATCTGTTCTCTTTCCAAATCCATTCCCCTGCCTTTCAGCAATGACCACTGCTGCGCTCTCCCTTTTCCCCAAGACTAGGAGCAAGTGGTTTTCACTTTCGAGGACACATACAGGAATTACTACTATTATTACCAGATTGCCCTCTATGAGTAAGGTCCACAATAAACCAGGTAAATTGCTTCATTTTAAAGGAAACTAGAAATGCTACTGGACTTCAAGATTTTTCTGCAGGTCAACATTAGAATTTTCTTGGCTCAAGTGCCAGTATGTACCAATTCACACCCATTTTCTAACAAGTAACATACCCGACATAAAAAGAAATGAGGCAAAAAATGCTAACACTAATTTAAAGATCATCTTAGCATTGCCACCTACATTATGACTGGGGTGTAACATTTCAGAAGGCAAACTCAGCTTTAAGTAGGTCGCATGTTTTTAAACAAGTGGTCATTTATATTTGTCCTCTGATGCATCCTGCAGAATTAATGAGGCATCACCAGGCAAGGGTTCATCTGCCAGAAGGCCACTTCTTTCCAGAGTTCTGCAAAGGTACACTTTAGAAAGTAAAGATAAGGCTTCAAAACACAAGGACTATTTTTGAATACAGTTTTAAATGTTGTTTCTAGACAACAGTAACAAAAAAAAGAACCACTGCCAGCTAACTATTTCTGTCAGTAGGATAAGATCTGCTTTAACCTTTCCAACATGTTCCCAATAGGCAATCAGGAAAAAATACCACATACACATCTAGAGAGCAGACCAGGAGGATTTTTATAAGTTTTTTCTAGTACCCCATTGAACTATACATAATAACATTAATTAAGATAAAGGGTTTACAGAGTCAGACTTGATTTAGCAAAAACTACTAGCCAAAAAAATTTGTTCAGGTCACTTGAAACATATCATAGAAAAATGGCAAGAACAAAACTAGCACATTCCTTCCAAATATGAGATATCTTCAACTATCAACACCTCTTGCTGCCCCTCCATCCCAAACAGAGAAAATTGCCAGTTCTACAGCTGACTGGAGTCCCAAACTAGAAAATCCTAAGCCATCCCAAACACACCAACCAAGAACACTTATTTTAAAACGTGGAAAGCAACATGTTAGTTGTCACTGCCCTAGTTTGCCAGCACTCAAAAGTTAGCAAGAAAATCTAGTTAGGAGGGCTGGAAAAGTCCCAGTTATTGTGTAGCTATCCATGGTACAAATGCCCACACTGAGCCTGATTTTAAGCAGTGGGGGTGGGTTGGTATTTTAATGAGACAGTAATCTGGGATAAAATAAACGTGGCTGTAACTTGACCACATACTTCTTACATCACCAGGCACTTAAGGGTTGCCCTGTTATTTCCCCATCAAATATAGCTACTGTTGTAAGTTTCCAAAAAGAACATATAGTAATGCTTACAAAACATTAATCCACGATAATATATCCATCCTGAGTATTTCATAATGACTGCTATTTATGATTTAATACTCAGTTCAAACCACTTGCAAGCGAGAAACAGACCAGCATGCAGACACCTGGATTACAGTTATTAATTCAAAGTATTAGAAAATACTCAAAAGTTCTGAACTACCTAGCTACTAAATCAAAATTAGAGACTTAAAAAAAAAAATACCAGCATGGATCTGACCAGACTTCTGAAGCAGCTCATAAGTGCTGTCTCCCTAAAAATATGCTAATGCAAAGTGAATAGCTCCTCATCCTCGTCTTTACGTGCATCCATTCAAGAGGAAAGTTTAAAAGTAGTGCATGATAATGTCAGAAAGTCCCTTTTTTAATGGAATAGATACAGTATATAATGCCAAAAGGCAGCACCCAGAAAAAATTTTAGCAGTAGTAACAAAATATGGTGAAGATTCTGGAGTACCTACGCATTTTGTGTCAGTCTTCATAGTCTGCTAAGTGCACTTCCTCAGCAGGAAGTCAAAATTCACCTCGGCACATTTGGTAAAGGACTAAAGAACAAGCTCTCACTAAAGGAACCGTGCAGAGCCTCAGAAATCTGAGGCAAGCAGAAACTCCCAAATTTGCACTATAATAATGAAAGCCAGTTTAGTTTCCTACTTATTATCTGGGATACACCGTTACTGTAGCTGTCCAAAGCCACACCACAAGGACTTCAATTTTAAACAGTAAAACAATTTATATTTGTGACAACAAAAAAACAGGCTTGGGGTTAACAGCTGTAGTGCAGAAAATTTTCTAGAAGACAGCACTCACAGTAAGTCCTGTTACTGAGACTGAAAAGCGTCCCCAAATTCACTTTACAGCCTACGGGGTACAACATGAAAAGTCACCAACACAATGATATTAGATTCCAGAACTATGTTTCCTGGAAGGCAGAACTGCCTTCGCAACTCCACGCACACACCGGGTGCATGAAGGATATAAGGATACCAGTTGAGCATCCCTTCCCTCACCTCCCTGACGCAATTCTGGACAGAGGGACACACTGGCCTGTGTTCCACAACCCTTCTCTGCACCTTAATTTCAACGAGTTTCGGTCCTTTTTTTTTTTTTTCTTTAATTACCGAGGTTTTCAAAACCTTAAAACTTCAAGAAAAGGGTTTTCAACAAACTCCTGGCTGATTTCGCCAGGAGTTCTGAGAAGCAAGAAAAGCTTGGCTAGGTGCCTTCTGCACACAATTAGACATCATTTACTGAAAGTTGGACTAATGCAGAGGGAACACAATCCCATTTGCACGGTCATGGACTATCCAGCTCCCCTCGGGGACCCCCCGGCACTTGAGCGGCGCCCATCCGCACCCTGCCGGGGCTGGGTGACACAGGGGACACACACAAACACGGGGAAAGACAGGGAGATACAGACACGACGGGGGAACACCGGGTTTGGGATGAGGGGGTGGGGGGTGCCCGGCCCGGCCCGCCCCACCCCGCTCACCCCGTTGTTCCTTCAGCGCCACCACGGAGGCGACATAGTGCGCCAAGTCGAAGAAAGGGAACATGGGCAGGCGGGAGAAGTGCAGCGGCACCTGCCCCAGCTCCATGGCCGGGCAGGGAGCACCGGGAAGGAGGAGGAGGAGGAGGAGAGCGCGGCGGAGCCCGCAGGAAGCTGCTTGGGCGCTGGCGGCCGCCGTCAGCGCCGGGGCGGGGCGGGGCGGGGCGGGCACAGCGCCGGACGGGGGTTCCCCTCCCCGGCACGGCCCCTCCGAGCGTCCTGTCTGAGCTCTGGCTCTCTGAGCGCTAAACCTCTCTACTGTGTCCTTTGTTTGCCCCCCCCCCCCTTTTTTTTGTTTTTGTCAAAATACTGGTAGTCCTGCTCCATGTACAGTTCGGGATCCCCCAGAGCCTTTCCTACATAGGTGCTTTTTTCCTGGCAGACCCTAAGCACATGCTCTGATATCTTTTATCTTTCTTTTTTTTCCCCCCTCTTTTTTCAGTATTTCAGTACTGAAGTCCATCAGTATTATTCAGGATTACCAGCGTGTATGCGGCTGTCACTGAGGGTTATTAATCAGTTGCTGAGGGCATGAATGTACACCAGATCCTGGTCAGGGCTCAGCAGAAACCCTCTAAGACATCTTTACATCCATTCTGATTTTGAAGGCCTGTGCTAACTTTGCCTTCTCAGAGCAGATCTGTAACGAGTTTTGCATTAATCCTACAGTATTTTCAGCAAAACTAGTTTGCTCCTGAGCTTCCCAAGTGAAATGTCAAAGATCTGCCAACTCCCGGATACATGACATTTGCCTTTTCTTTGCTCACCAGACTAGCTACCTTGAGGGAGCTGAAGAAATTTTGTAGAATGGTTTGGGTTGGAAGGGACCTTAAAGACCATCTTGTTCCACCCCCTGCCATGGGAAAGGACACCTTCCACTATCCCAGGTTGCTCAGAGCCCCATCCAACCTTGGCCTTGAACACTTCCAGGGATGGGGCAGCCACAGCTTCTCTGGGCAGCCTGAGCCAGGGCCTCACTACCCTCACAGGGAAGAATTTTTATCTAATCTAACCCCCTTGTCCTATCACTCTATGCTCTTGTAAATAGTCCCTCTCCATCTTTCCTGTAGGCTCCCTTCAGGCATTGGAAGACTACAGTTAGGTCACTCCAAAGCCGAATTACACTAACTTGACATTATTCGTGATGTAGCCATATCAAGGTTTGTTGTTCTCATCTTTTCAGCATATTAACTTTTTTTCCCCTGGAGATGGAAGTTAACTTGTTTCTGAAGTTTTGGCTGGGTTTCCCTACTGAGGAAATACACCATTTTTGTCTTTTCCATTCAACTTCCACATGCTGGTGAAAAGAACTGTAAATGGCTCTAAGTTTTCCATACTATGTGATGAAGTTAAGCAGAGCAGTCTGAAAACATACAGCTTTCACAGGTGTTCTTAAATGTGATCTTTGCCTACGAAGAACTAATTTCAGGAAATAACTGGAATTGTAGGATCATTCTGGGGAAAAGGTTTATGCAGGGTGAGATAGCAAACACTTGAACTTTTCCCAGAATAATTTCAGCTCACCATAAAAGCAAGCCATTCTTTTCACTGAGTTTCCTCTTATCAGTACCATATTCCCAGAATAAGTTATTATTCTAAACACCTCTTCCCTTCTGTGCATCCAGTGACTCATTTTTTCTCACTAACACTTGAGCCCTGTGCTTGTAGCTCATTTCTGTTTTCTTAACATTTCCATTTGCATGTCATCTATCTAAAGAGATCTTAATTTAGCCATAGTGATCTCTTACTAGTCTTATCGTTAACAATTCTAATTCTTATTTTCTGTTGTGCTTATGTACAGACATAGCAACCAGTTTGTTTTCTAGAGGAGAGTGATGATTAGCCCCCCTTGATAGATGATAAGACATAATACATTAGTAAGTTGCATTCTGTGGCAGAAATCAGTTCAACATCATTTTGTTTCCTGCTGCACAGGGCTACGTATCCATGCAGCAACTGAATTACTAGAAGGATTTTAAACGATGGAGCCCAGGCCTTTTTAATTTCTTGCAGTACTGGTTTATTCCCAGCAAGTGGCATCCGTTTCATTGCTAGACAGTGAAAACTACTCAAACTATCTTGTATATGATCATAGAAGGAGAGGGAGAGAAATAAAAATGACAGTGACCACAGCAAATCTATAGTGACATAAAAAGAGTCACAATTTGGGCCAGCAGCATGTTGTGCTTGATGGCAACATCTGCATGGCAGCTCCTGCTGTGCCTACAACTCATGTAGATATACCCAAATTCTCTAACATATCAGTAGTGATATCTCTACTGGTGCTATCTCCCAGCAGATCAGCAATAGCCATCTGAATTTTGAATTTTTAGTCAGGTCCTCAAATACACAGTACTCCGTCCTCTGTCAGGAGTTCTTCACTACACCCAAAGTGTTGCTCTCCAAAGCAGAGTGTGCTGATTTTGTCTGGGGTAGAGAATTTTCTTCCCAGTGGCTGGTATGGGGCTGTGTTTTAGGGTTGTGCTGAACACAGGGTTGATAATTTAGAGATATTTTTGTTACTGCTAAGCAGGACTTGTACAGAGGGCCTTTTCTGGTTTTCTGTACTGCCACACTGGCCAGGAAGTTGGGGGTTCTTGGGAGGTTGAGAGGAGACACAGACAGAACAGGTGACCCCAGCTGACCAAAGGGATATTCCAGACCACATGACGTCATGCTCAGTGTATAAAGCGGAGGGAAGAAGGAGGAAGGGGGGCAAGTTTGGAGTGATGGAGGTTGTCTTCCCACATAACCACTATATGTGATGGGGCCCTGCTCTCCTGGAGATGGCTGAGCACCTGCCTGCCCCATGGAAAGCAGTGAATCAATTCCTTGTTTTACTTTGCTTGTTTGCATGGCTTTTGCTTTCCTTATTAAACTGTCTTTATCCCATCCCACGAGTTTTCCAGCTTTACCCTTCCAGTTGTCTCCCACATACCACTGGTGGGAAAGTGAGTGAGTGGCTGGACTAGCTGGGGTTAAAGCACGACACAGAGATAGAGCATTATGGAGGTGGATCTCACAGTACTGGAGTGGTAAATGCATGTTAACCCACACACTTAAACAAAAAAGTTTTGGTGGGTTTTCCACCTCCAGCATCAGCAGGAGATAAGAACAGCAGTTTCTCTAAGTTTGTTGGTAACCAAGGAAAGATTCCTGTGCTTTGATGGTGGCATCTTAGCAGAGCATAGAATAGCCACCAGGGAGAAATCAGATCAGGGAACACAGTCTGTGTAATAGCAGTAGAGTAACAAATAACAAAACTTAAAATTGGTCATTTTCCAGATGTCCCAGATATTTCAAGAATAATTTAAAGATAGCAGAGGATAAACACCTCTGAAATAATCCTGTTCATCCTTGAACCAAATGTACTGATGCTGAGAGAACTGTGACAGTGTGAGCAGATGGCATTAGTGTGTAAGCTAGGTACACTTGTATGTGTGTGTTCATGACACAATTTCTTGTCTTTTGCTGATTTTAAACAGGAAGAACAGATGCCCCTTTCTTGGGAGTAGGCTAATAAAGGAGCTGAGCACACTGTGCATATAAGAAATTTAAAGATGGACTGGTTAGTAGACTGCTGTGTTGTATGAGTGTAAAGCTCAACAAGAAATCAAAGCACAAGACTGAACTGTCTCTCTTGCCCATGGAATGTTATCATGACCTTTAAAAACCCCACTGTAAACACCTGCTGAATAGCTACCCAATTTGCACATGCTGCAAAGTACTTTTCAGCAGGATTATGCTAATTTAGTGTCTGAAAAAAAGAGGTCTGTGTACCTAGCATGGAAGTATGGCTACTGAAGTTGCTGCTACATGTGGGATACGTTTATTTTGTGTTCTATTTTGTAATCTGTGGGATTCTGCAGACAGTGGCCTGCAATTCAAAAGTGGTGCCTTAGGGGAGAAAAAAGGAGGACTTCTTTAGTCATCAGGATGTCTCAAAACTGTGCTCTACTTCCCAAAATCAGGAAATTACAAATATTCCTGTTTTATGAATTATTAGAAAAAAATTTATTTATCTCTAAGAAGAAAATTTCTCAAACTCACCTCTATGCATCAAAATCAAGTCAGGTGAAAATAGTAATCTTTGTCACCCATGAAAATGAACATTCCCACTGCCTTCTCTCATCCTGCCATGTTCGTGGTTTGTATTGTCTGCCACACAATTTTTCCATTTTCCAGCAGTCTTTTATCCCCCTCAAGCTGCTTACTTCGATCTTCTAGTACATTTTCTTCTGATTCCTCTCTCCTCAGCACCATATATTCATTCTCCTCAGCACCATATATTCACCTATTTATTTCAGTGTCATTCCTTGCTTTCTCCCCAGTTTTCTTGCTTTCTCAATGCCATCCTCAGCATTTAGTCATGGCTTAGTACACCTCAGTCTCCTGTCTCTCTGAGGATTTGGCTATTCATCTCATCTTTGTCACCTTTCAGTCAATACTCATATACTGAGCCTTGACCTTTACTTTTGCATCCCTTCCAACTTTGTGTTTCACTAACATTACCCTCCTTCTTTTCCACAGTCTTCCTCCAGAGGGTAACATCTTGTCTCCTTTCATTTTTTTCTATGAACAATATTGCTAAAGTGCTTTGAAAAAAAAAATAAGCTGAGAGAACAGATCACACGAAGTTCATGTCGCCATTCATCTCCCAACACAACATTACTCTGGCTTATTTTCCTTATGTGCTGGTTAGTGCCAATCTAGATTGCCAAGTGGAGAAATAGAAGTGTCTTTTAAACTGACCAGTGGCATTTTGATTTACATCCACCTCAGATCCCTCCTTCCTCGCATCAGATTAGGTTCTCACAGATATTTAAGAATCCATTTAAAATTTCTCTTCTCCTACAGCCCCTAAAGCAGAATCATTGTCTTCATTCCTAGGTAAAGATTGTATGTACAGAATACAAGTTTGTATGTCTACAAAATACATACTCCACATCCTTTGTATCTCTATTGCAGTAGTAAACTCAGTCTGACTTTGCATAGAGCTGAACTCTGTATAGAGAAGTCAGGAAATTGACTACAGGCATGTGGCTCTTCTAAAAATGGTCACTAGACTCCTGAATGCTCATCTCTTTTCTTCTCTGCTTAGGTTTCAG